TCTACATCATCTATCACTTTCCTCTTTGGCCCCATAATCTCCTTGATCAGAAAATTTGGGACACTACCGAGTTACATGACGTTATAGTACAAGTTCTCATATGTCCTGAGTCTTAATTGACCTTGGAAGGCTACGGCCAAAATGTTGGCTTTCCCTACGGCCCTCCTTTTTCTCTAATTTTGGTCTGCAAACTTAGGTTGTTAACCCTCCAGGTGAGAAGCTTATTGTTATTACCATACAATCTAGGCTGTTAAGCTTAACCTCACTATCTGTCTGAATATCAAACATCTTAGGCATAATGTCTTAAGCTTTAAAAGAAGCTTTTTATTTTTATATTTTTCTCATGTAGGCATAGAACCCAGGGCCTAGTACGTAGTAGGCAAGTACTCTATCACTGAGCTATAGTCCTAGCTCCTGTCTTAAACTTTTTAAAAAATACAGCCTTTATCAATTTACTATTTTTGTTTGTTTTTTAGGTTTTTTTAAGGCAGGGTCTCATGTAGTTGAGGTTGGCTTTGAATTAACTATGTAGCCCAGGCTGGTCTTGAATTTCTGGCAATCTTCCTGCCTCAGCCTGCTGAGTGCTAGGGTTAGGGGTGTGTACCTGTAAGGATTAAAAAAAAAAATGTATGGAATCACTGTTATTCGGAATTTAAGTGTGAGGTGACTGGATCATGTTTTGTTGCAATTTTTTTAAATTTTTGTTTTGTTTGTCTTTTTTGAGACAAGAGTCTCACTATTCAGTTTAGGCTGGCCTTGAACTCAATTGTAGCCCGGGTTAACCTCAAAGTGACAGCAATCCTCCTGCCTCAGCTTCCTGAGTGCTGGGATTATAGTCATACTCCACCAGGCACAGCCCAAGGAAACCAGAAGCCTTGTGGGTTAGTTCCTTCCCCACTTGGCACACCTTCAAGTCAAGAGTGGTTCTCGCCTCCAGCCTGCTGTGAGGACACTGAGCCAGCCATCGAGTGGGGGCTTCTGCAGAGAGCTCACCCACAGCAGGCACGGGGCAGCTCCATGGGCTCTCGCAGCACTAACCGTGCTGACCATCCTGAAATCTTTTACCTGTACTTGAGCACAGAGATTGCTTCTTTCTAGGCCCCTCTTGCTAAAGCTTTGCAGAAGAGCCATGTCCTCAGTTCTGTCTCGCTGGTGTTGGACTTGGGAGCGGAATGCAAATCTGTTGAAGCCCATCGGTCTTTCTCTCGTTTTGAGAAGTGCTGCCTCAGCCTCCAGAGCACCGTTGGCTGCAAAGGTGTGCTGGGTGACTGAGTCACTTCTCTGTTGACGGTTCTTTTTTCAGGCTGGTGAGCTTTTTGGAGGCAAAGGCAGAGAGCTTGCACAGAGGTGCTCATCATTACACAGGGGTAAGCGGTTACTTTTGGAAACGGTCCCTACTGCCCTGGACCCAGGTGGGGGTGGGCTGGGGGTGCAGGGCGCCCAGTGGGGCAGAATTTCTCGGAATGTCCTTGTATTGTTAGGCTTCACGCTTTACCTTATGCGAATTGTGATTAATTTAAAATGAATCATGTTGATCTTGCCAGAATATTTTATCTATAGTCAAATGCAGAGATTGCTTACTTGTAGTATCCTTCTCTCTAAAGTTTTTAAAACTGCAAGAGCGAGTGCTTAGTAATGTTGTCATCTCCCTGCTGGGGGACGAAGACCCCCGTGTGCGGCACGTTGCTGCGGCGTCATTGGTGAGGTACTTACTTGTGCTTCCTGTCCTCGTGGGCCCGCTTGGCTGAAGTGTGAGCAGTGTGAGGGTGGGCATGGAGTGGGCGGCAGCAGGAAGCACTCCCGAGTGTGAGTTCATTGTCAGCCACTCCACTCTTAAGTCTTCTGAAAAAGTTCTTTACTAAAATGACAAAAAAAACCAAGTTGTAATATTTCAGCTGCCAGCATTTTGAAATGTAGAGAGCACCAAAAAGAAACTGAACCAGCCCTGTCCTCTGCTCTCCTGCCAGGATGCTCCCTGCAGAGCTGCTGCTGCTGCTGCTATGGCCCAGAGGCTCAGGCTGGCCATCCTGGGAGGAGAGAGTGAGGGTGAGGCGAACGTAGCTCCCAGTAAACTCGCCTTCCTCTCGTGTAGGCTTGTCCCAAAGCTGTTTTATAAGTGTGACCAAGGACAGGCTGATCCAGTAGTGGCTGTGGCAAGAGACCAGAGCAGTGTTCACCTGAAGCTCCTCATGCATGAGACGCAGCCTCCCTCGCACTTCTCGGTCAGCACCATCACCAGGTATGCATTCCCCGGGGGCCCAGTTCCTTCCTAGGCACACACCCCAACCCCACTTCCATGGCAGGTTTGAGCAGGCCCTATTCCCTGGCTTGGATAGACACGCTGTCACCTCTGTGCTTAAGCCCAGCTGCAGCCATGCCATGGTGACTGTGTCACACATTGCATTCCTTAGACTGCCAGCTAGATTTTTGTGTATGTGGCTCTCCTGCATAATCTGGAGATTTGTCCCCTGAGCACTGTCCCTTGTGAAGAGGAAGCACTCTCTGTAATCCCATTGGTCATACTGACTGGCTAGTGGTGCCAGCGTGTGGTGAGAGCATGGAGTGTGGCCTCTTTTTCTCCCAGGAGCACATGCCTTTGTGATGGTGCAGGTTTCTTCAGAAAATTAGTGTGCAGAGAACACAACAGAAATGATAATGAGGGCTGGGGAGATAGCTCGGCAGGCTAATTGCTTGTGTGGCAAAGGCAAGGACCCAGGTTTGATGCTTGGTACTGTATGCCATGCCGGACATGTGCCAAGCTGGCCACCAAAACCGGGCATGGTTGTGCATACCTGTCATCCGAGCACTGGGGAGGCTGAGACAGGAGGATCACTGGGTCTAAGCTGCATAGCAATACTTGGTATTAAATAAATACAAAAAGAAATGACAAGGAGACTGTGATGTTTTCAGTGTTATGTAAAAAAGTTACATGATACTCTCTGCTAACTGGCATTTTTTTTTTTCCCCTAAGATCTTGACTAAATGACTTTTAAGCTTTATTAATCACTGGATAGTCTTGTCCTGAATTTAGAACTCAGCTTTTCAAATTTTGCGGTCAGTATTTTTTGTTGTTGTTGCTATCAGGAATCAAATTATATTTGCCAGGCAAGTGCTTGTGCCACTGAGCCATATCCCTGGCCCTGCAGTCAGTATTCCTAAATAAATTTTATCTTTCTCCATAAGGACCACTTTTAAAAATCACACATGGGACTAATTTCTAGGTTTTCTTAATATTTTCCCTCAGAGACTACTTTGTTTAACCTCTGAGCTGCTATTTCCTTTGAAAAGATCTGGCACAAATATTCCTGTAAGATAAGGAGTGTGTACAAGAGAATCGTGATCAGGAATTCGATAACCCTAAGGTGAACTGATACTGCTAATGCCACTTTGGAAATGAGTCCAGCTGCCCACAGAGATGAGTCTAGTGTTGCATTGCAACTGCTTCCTGACTCCGCCGTTGAAAGTCTGGTTGTGCACTTCTGCTGGCTCTTGTCACTTAGCTGTGCTTTCCTGGAGGTAGATACAGTTACGAGTTGTGCCTCTGTGTTTCCCACCATTCATTCTGCTTTGTTAGAGCTGGTGGGGAGATGATAAATCAGATCTTCCAGGAGTTCCACAGTTTTGTTGATCTCTCTATGTTAAGACCCTTAGAATTTATCAGGGTAGAAATCGATATGTGACACAATTCACCTACTAGAAGAGACCCTTAGGATCTTGGTTGTGGAGAAAGGGATTTTGATTTTTTGTTTTGTCTTGTTTTTTCCCAGCATCAGGGGATCGAACTCAAGACCTTGTGCTTGCAAGGCAGGCGCTTATGCTGCTGAGCTATTTCCCTGGCCCATATAGCTTAGTGGAATAAAGCACCTGCTTAGGCAGGCACAGGGACCAGGGTTTGATCCCCAGTGTGCCTTGCCAGCCCTGCCCCTGGGGCACACTGAGACCACAACTGCGACTAGACGTGGTGGTGTGCGCCTGTAATCCCAGCGCTTGGGAGGCTGAAAACAGGAGAATCACTACGAGTCCGATCTGTGCAGTGAGACCCTGAAGACCCTACACTAAATACATTAGAAAGAAAAGGATTTTTTTTTTTTGTGGGAGTCGGTGGCTTCAGGTGCAGAAGACTGTGTCCTGGCAGCAGGCTGTAAGGATAGCATAGCGCGTGCTACAGGGAGTGGTGCCAGGGAGGAAGAGGAGGCATTCAGCCTTCCTCCCCAAATAAGCACCAAAATTATTTCTAGTCTCTCTTTAAAAGCCAACACTGCCCTCCTTCTAGCCTTCCATCTGAAACTTTACATTGCCTTCTGATTTTGAAAAATGTCATATGATTTGAAAGAGTGTTACGTATCTCTATTTTTCTTATAGAATCTATAGAGGGTATAGTTTACTACCAAGCATAACAGATGTCACCATGGAAAATAACCTGTCAAGAGTTATTGCCACTGTTTCTCATGAGCTGATCACGGCCACCACACGTGCACTCACGGTAAGTCCTTCAGGCTGGGCTGATGGAGGCTGTGTCCCTGGCGCCCACGTGGTCTGGGGACGGGAGATCGTGTGGGAAATGCTGTGTCCCAGTTGTTACTCTGCACACGTGCTCAGGAACTGTGCTTTTGTCCACAGAACCTTGGCTCATTCCAAGGAATAGTAAAGAACTCTTTTTGCAATGAGTAAAGTCACACATACTCATGAAAATCTTCAGTGTTGGTATTTGGTAGTGACTTCGTATTCCCTTCTTCCGTAGTTTGGATGCTGCGAAGCTTTGTGTCTTCTTTCGGCCACCTTTCCAGTTTGTGTGTGGAGCTTAGGCTGGCATTGTGGGTATGTATCCTCAGTCTGTGTCTGTCTGCATGGGTGCAGTACTCATGTGATTACTGGGATCCATTTATGCTTTCTTTTTATTCCCTTTGTCAATTTGGCCTTATGGAAAAAGTGTCTGGCAGTACTTGCTTCTGCCCTATTAGGTGTGAAAACTGGGAAGAGGACTGTGGGGAAAGGCTGATGAGCGCCTCAGGCTCCCAAGTATCTGTGGGGATTTGGGTACGATCTGTGGGGCTAAGAGAGTTTTCATAAGCTAGTAGAAACTTTTCTAATTGACTTTTTTCTAAAATTACTGTGTACAAAAAATCAAGTGTGACCTAGTGTTTAGAGTTGTGAGGAACTATATAGGACTAGATTCCAGCATCTATTGAATTGCCATTCACAGTTTTTACTTAAAAAGTTTTCCTTCTGCAAATGGCCTGGGAGGTGCTGGGACGCAGTTTACCTCTTCTACAGCACTGAGAAGTAATCCTTCTTGTGTGCATTGGTGAATAAAAAGTGTTTGGCTGATTCACTTCCCACTTAAAAGTGGACCTGCAGGAGTCTTGTGTGTCAGTGTATGGCCAGCTAACATTGGCTCATGTGTCCTTGGCCTAGAATGTTTGCTTGCTTTCTTTTGCAAAGATTTTCTTTTTTTTTTTTTTTTTTTTTTTTTTTTTTTTTTGGCGGTACTGAAGATGGAACTCAGAACCCTGTGCTTGCCAGGCAGGCGCTTATTCCTGGTCCCCTTTTCTGCTAAGATTAAGCAAATACAACTTTGCATCGGGCTAGCACAAGAGTTGAGCAGCTTTTGGCAGTAGAGTAATATTTGCTAAATCGAAATACAAAGAAAGTTAAGGATATACCACAATGAATTTGTGGCTCCAGGATATTTTTCAGTTCTACTATTTTATTTCCCAAGTGATTTTTACAGAGCTATGTGTTAACTGGCTACAAATAGTGAGATGAGTTTCTGAGCTGTAGAGTATCTCCTCACATGCCTTTCTCCTGCGGCTCTGCAAAGGACAGGCTGTTCCTTGGCCCTTCCTTAGTGTGACTGTCAGGTTTCTGCTTCCAGAGCACCCCCGCTGAGTATTCCCACTGAGTCCAGGAAAAGCTGCACCATTGGGATGGCCACTGTGATTCTTACCCTGCTCTCCTCGGCTTGGTTTCCGCTGGACATCTCTGCCCATCAAGATGCCTTGATCTTGGCAGGCAACTTGCTTGCAGGTACTTTGTGCTGGGATGATTTCCTCATGAGGATGGTGGTGGCAAGCACATGGGGATGCATTCTGAGTTGTCACCAGGGGTAGCTGCTTCCTTCAAGAGTAGCTGAGTCCTGAGGGCTATTTCAGTACAAGCCCTGTCTGTGTCATACTCTGTCACAGGGCCTAGAAGGAGGCGTACCCTGCAGGGTCTAGTCTCACATTGGCTATAGATTGGCAGGGGTTGTGGCAGCGCAGGACAGCTGCATACCGTGTGTGGGCAGTGGCGTGCCCTGCTGGGAAAGAGCCCTCTAGGTGTGGTTGGCAGGTGCAAAAGCATGGAGATGTGAGTTGCCATGTGCCATTGGGGCGTGAAAGTCATTATGGGTGTCACCTAAAGATGGGATGACAGTTGAAAATGTGGCCATCAAGGGGAGCAGCGTCCTTTGAAATTAAATGGGGGTAGGTTCAGTGTTTGTTCTTAGGGAACCGGGCTGTGTCGGCCAGTTTCATGAAGGTTGTTAAAATGTTTGCTTGACAAAGAGCAGTGAACTGCTGATGAGGGCTGGCGGTTAGCATGGAAGTTCCAGTCCTGAGAGCAGTTTTGGGGCTGGAGGGAAAAGGCTGGGAGACTGGAAGAGCGTCAGTTGGGAGGATCAGCCATGTCTTAGACCAGTGCGTGATGGTGACATTCGTAGAAATTGGCAATGTAGATTGGAAGGGTCAGTTTGATGCTAAGATTAATGTGTCTGAGCTTGAGGTCCAGAAATCCTGTAAACGCTCAACATAGAGGGGACCTAGTGACTTATGTCCCCCCATCAGTTAGGTTTCCCACCTGTGGAGGTGGGGGTAATGTGTCTGCCTGTGTCACAGCTAGTGCCCCCAAATCTCTGCGAAGTTCATGGAGCTCTGAAGAAGAAGCCAACCCTGTAGCTACCAGACAGGAAGAGGTGTGGCCTGCCCTGGGGGACCGGACCCTGGTGCCCATGGTGGAGCAGCTCTTTTCCCACCTGCTGAAGGTGATCAACATCTGTGCCCATGTCCTGGATGACGTGGCTCCTGGACCAGCGATCAAGGTGAGAGCTTTGTCAGGGCTGAGGTCTGGGTTCTGGGGCACCTCATTTAGCAGGCATCCCTTCCTTACCACTGTTCTGTGGGTGAACGTAGCACTGAAAGTGGAAATAAGGCCTGGTCATGCCAGGGGTGTGATCTCTAGGAATGTGCTGTTGTCTCTGATGGGACCATGCCTCACTCTGTGATGGTGCTTACTCGTACAGTGCACTTAAGGTCGACCGGTCCACTTCACCTGCTTGTTCTCTGCCTGTGCTTTCTGTTTTTTTTTTTTAATTAATTTATTTTTTTTAAAGTTTTATTTATTTATTTATTTATTTATGTGTGTGTGGCCAGCTCAGCCCACCAGGGGGCGGGGCTGGCTGGCATGTGGCGCTAGGGGATTGAACCGTGGTCCCTGTGCTTTGCTAAGCTTGTTCTAAGTAGGTGCTCTAGACCACTGAGCCATCTCACCAGCCCCATGTGCTTTCTGTTTTTAAATTGTTCCCATGTAACTTCCTTTTCTCTTTCAGGTGCTATCTGAGGCAGTCCCAGCCTATATACACACACACCATCATGCACACATGTATATGCCAGGACCACTCGCTTGGGCCCAAGCCTTCTGTGCATGGTCTTTTCTTTCTTTCTTTTTTTTCTTTGTGGAACTGGGGATTGAACTCAGGCCCTTGCACTTGCCCGGGAAGTGCTTACTCCACTGAGCCATCTCCCCAGGCCCCTTCTTTTCCTTTTTCTCTATTCTTTTCTTTTCTCTTCTTTTCTTTTCTTTTTTCTTTCTTTCTTTCTTTCTTTCTTTCTTTCTTTCTTTCTTTCTTTCTTTCATGTATTTAGTACAGAGTCTACAGGATCTCACTACACAGATCAGACTTGTGAGCCTCCTGTTTTCAGCCTCCCAAATGCCGGGATTACAGGCGCATGCCACCATGCCCAGTCTCAGTCACCATTTCAGCACGCCCTGAGAGTGGGGCCGGCAAGGAACAATGGTCTTTAGAGGACCGTTTTGGTCCATGCTGTGACACCTTCCCACACCCTGTCTCTGCTGGCCTGAATTTGCTCTTCAGTTTGCTGCCTGGGGCTGGTGTCTCCTCTGATTCCCTACTGCTCCTCAGCCCTGCCCTGGTCAGCCTTTCCTTCTCACCTCAGGCCTTCTCTGCTTTTTCTCTGAGAGCCAGCCTTGTCCAGTGGGGTTCTGTGCCATCATGGAATTGTGCTATGTCCACCTCAGTCAGGATAGCAGCCACGTGGAGCTCTGGAGCTCTTGAAATGTGGCCAGGGGTCTTAGAAACTTGTCATTTACTTCAAGTGTAGACAGCTGTGTAGGCCGTGGCTCCAGGACTGGACAGAGACGCTCAGCGCAGGGTCAGGGCTGCACGCGTTCAGTGTCTGAGCACCAGGAAACCTAGTCCTGCCATGAGCTACAGTCCAGCATAGCCAGCAGCCACACAGCACTGGTGTGGCTCCTTCCCAGTTGTGTCAGTCTCGCGTACTGGTCCTCACTGAGCTCCTCCTCGTTCCCTGCGCCCATTTTTGCCTGGCTTGCGGCCTGGTGTCTCTCTAGCTGGAGCCCAAGGCCGCACAGCTCCTCCTTCTTACTCTTCTTGGACACACGCCATCACTGCAGGTTCTTTTTCTCTCCATTTGGTGCCGTTCTGTACAGACTGATGGTCTCATTTGGACCACTGCGTTGGCCTGATGAATTGAACTTTGCAGAAGTAGGATTTGAGCCCAAGATCTGAGTACATCATTGTTAGGTTTTATTTTGAAAGAGTCTTACCAAGGCACTAAATTGTAGACAGACAGGACATTTTACATAGATGTGCATGTACATAGCAGTGGAGTTGTATTTTTGGAAGGTATTTAATAGGGAAGTGAGAGCCAGGTCATACAACGTGAGACCTGTGATGACTCCCGTTTCTAGCTTGATGAATGCCTAGTCTGCGCTCTAACTTGTGATCGTCCTGTCTTAGTCTCCCGGAGTGCTGGGATTCTAGGCCTACACCATCATGCCTAGCTTTTTTTGAAATAGCATTATTGAAATAATTCATATGCCATGCAGTTCAAGTGTATGATTCATTTTTAAAGTATGCTACAGAATTGGGCAAACGGTCAGTTTTAGAACCCACAGGAAGCTCTGTATGCTGTGGCTGTTTCAGCTCTAGGTAGAACTGACCTGCTTTCCTTTTCTGGCTGTGGCTCTTCTGGACACTCCTGTGGTGGCCCTGTGACCTGCCCTCTGCAGCCCCTCCCTGCTCTCTGCAGTCTGTTCTTCAGACTGCAGCCATCTGTCCCCTGATACATCTTTACAGAATAGGCTCAGAGGTGTGAGGTCAGTGCCTCGCAAATGCTGGGGAGCTTCAGACAACAGAAACTTAGTTCTCCTGGTTTTATAGCCAAGAAGTCTGTGGTCCAGGTGCTGACACACCCTGTTTGTGGCAAGGGCCTGTGTTACAAGAGCACTGTCCCATCGTGACCTTGTCATCTCCAGCTGCCAGTGTTTGCGGGCTTGGTTTGCACAGAGCTATGGGTCCAGATGCTGAGCGGGCACTTTGCTGAGGTCCGGGAGGGTGTGAGCAGCAGAGCTGGACTTGGAGCCCCTGGGCCTGTCTTCCTCATTCTGGCTCATGTCTGCTGCCGCTGTCTGCATGCTTTGTGTTCTCTCCTGGGACTGGGAAACGCAGGCTGCGTGGATTCATGGGGGCTGGTTGCTTCTTGGCTGTGACCCTAGCGAGTCACTTTATCTTCAAACTTGGAAAGTATGTGGCTGCTTATACCATGGCCCGGTGTAAATGCCTGATGCCCTGTCATGGGAAGGATGGGGACTCCGGTGGCTTGGCCTCCCAGTTCCTTGAGGGCCCTTTGTTGCCAGCCATTCCTGTGTACCTATGAGGAAGCTCTAGGCCATTCTTGCCACCTATGATTTTTGTGGGACTAGAAGTGGATGGTCTGGGGTACACTGTTTGGGTTCTATAAATAGGGGTTAAAATGAATGTCTAACTTGGTGTCCTTCAGTGCAAAGTAAAACTGCATGTGATACTTCTCATTTTTTAATCTCTGTGTGGGTTGTACTTAGTCCTGTTTTGTTTTCTGCTTCAGGCAGCTTTGCCTTCTCTGACAAACCCCCCTTCACTAAGTCCCATCCGGCGCAAGGGCAAGGAAAAAGAACCCGGAGAACAAGCTTCTGTGCCACTGAGCCCGAAAAAGGCCAGTGAGGCGAGTGCAGGTAGGCAGTGGCATTGGGAGGGCTGTTCTGGACATGTGTAGGACCTAAGCTTCTGCCCTTGACATGGTCAGTGGGCCAGTGTGGTTCTCTGTGGCAGTCCTGTCACGGCACTCAGGTCAGAGGTGGTTTCCCAGGGTGTGCTCTCAGATATCTCGCCCGTCTCTGGAAGCCTGGCAAGGGCTCCCTTCATCCATGTTTCGTACTGCTTTTCATCCTTCCAGCAGAGGCACTGCTGTAGCCACTCTTGATTTTTAGTAAGGGGCAGTGTGGACGTGGAGAGAGCACACTGACTAAGGGTCCTGAAGTAGGGCATGGACACTGCATTTGCAAGAGCTCAAGGTTGACAGTGGGGGGGTGGGGGGAGGCCCAGAAAGTCACAGCTGCGTGAGTGGCTTCTTTACCTGGGAGACAGGAGAATGGAGGGCCCTAGAGCTGCCAGTCCTGACTGTCCTGCTCTTGGTGGAGATGCTGGAAGGTTCTCCCGAGCCTCACCCCAGGACCTCATGGGACTCAGTGTGCAGCGTGAGGAGCTGATTAAATCCACTTACAGCGAGGCCTCTAGACCACTGTCAGATACCAGGCACAGTGTTGTTAGTTGTGGCTGCCATGCTGTGCAGCAGGCTCTTGGACTCCTTCCTCCTTCTTTAAATGAAGTTTTCTATTCTTTGACCAACCAATGAAGGCTTCTTAAAAGGGGCTGCTTTCTAAGGCCCTGAAACATAGCAGGAAGATTTACCTGTTTAAAAGATTCATTCTTTTTTTTTTCCCCATTATTTATGTATTTAGTACAGGGTCTCACCATGCAGCTGTGACTCATAATGATCCTCCTGTTTTCAGCCTCCCCAGTGCTGGAATTATAGGCGTGCGCCACCATGCCCAGACTCTGTCTCAGCTCAGCGTGCCCCTGGGGCCAGGCCTGTGCCAGTGCAGCATGCAAGCCCACAGAATCCGGCCCTGGTCCCTGTACTTGCCAAGTAGGCACTTAGTCCGCTGAGCCATCTCGCTGCCCCTAAAAGAGTCATTCTTTACAAATTTATCATTATGAAACTAAGCATCTTTTGAGGAGGTAAAGAAACTAAGCACCCTAAATCAGAAGTCTTTAAAACTGGAGTAGACTAACTATGTTGTGCTGAGCACTATAACATCACATGAACCTTGTACAGGTCCCAGGATGTGCGCCTGTTGCTCTGTGTAGCCGCATGATGCCGTGGCTACACTGCTGGCTGTCAGCCTTGTGTTCCTCCTCCTCCTCTAAGTGCTAGGCCCTGAGGTCTGGATTGGTGGTCCCTGCCTTACCAGGCAGCTGAGCCCCTGAGACAACACAGAGCTGCATTGCATAGCCATTGCTTTACTGTCTTTTGTACATTTTTAAGGCTTAGGTTCTACTTGTGCTTCTCATTACTTCTAGTCAAACAAAAGTGAGGAGAGGTTTTAATTTGTCCCAGGATGTTTTTAAAATTCAGTATTTAGGTTTTAAACTTGGTAAATTTTTCATGTATCTAAAAGTTCATTTTTTATGTATTTTTAAAGTTTCCCGACAATCTGATACCTCAGGGCCAGTCACAACCAGTAAGTCCTCATCACTGGGGAGTTTCTATCATCTTCCCTCATACCTCAAGTTGCATGACGTCCTGAAGGCTACTCACGCCAACTACAAGGTATTGGCCTCTGCTGTGTTCTAAATATGCATGCTAATTACATGGGCCTAGGGGATGGCTGGTGTTTTTCTGATGATTCAGGGGTGTTTATGCTTGTGTATGCACACGTATCTATAAATACGTTAGTCCCCCACTCCTTTGCTGTACTGGGGATTGAACTCAGGGCCTCAAGCCACTGAGCACCTGAGCTACATCTCCACTGCTTTTTATTTTTGAAATAGGCTCTCTTTAAGTTGCCTGGGCTGGCTTTAAACTTGAGATCCTCTTGCCTCAGCCTCTCATGTACCTGGGGTGACAATTGTGTGCTGCCACTCCTGGCTCCCTTTTGAGGTATATGTTATAATTGGTTTCTCAGGTTTGTCTTTCAGCTTGCTTTATGACAGCTGTGCAAGTATGAAATGATCCTGAGAGAGAAATCATCTGTGGTTTTTGGCACTGTATCCAGGCCTTCATGGGCCAACCTGCTTTTAGAGTCTCCCAAGGGGTACTGGGACTTAGCACCTGGCTGGCCTCACAGCTGAGGCTCACCTCATGCCACCTGGAATACGTAGCTAGGTCGTGGGGAGGTAGGCTGGTGAAGGTGCCCCGGTGCCCAGACTGGAGACCCCCGGGAGAGGGCAGGTGCTTAGCAACCAGGGGCCTGCCTCAGACCTACGGCCTGGTAGCCCCCCTTGCTGGGGCAGTCCCTGTGGGTGTGGGGCTCCCGAGCCAGCTGGGCCCATGGGCCTTGGGGGGCCAGCAGCTGCTCGAGTGCCTTCTTTGGGTTGTAGATAGATTTCACAGTTCTTTTATTCATTGTTTTCCATTAACTACAGTTTGTCAGACCTACAGTTTGGGTCTAAGTTTTTCCTAAATGCTTAATTGGTGGTCTCCAACACTGTTGGCCGAATAATACATTTCTGTGTACTGATTGTTTTAAAATTCTAGTTTTATCGAATATCAACTATTAGCTCATGGTTCTGTAGCTTCACTTATTTTGTTCCATCAGTCTGTTCGTCTTTAAAAGCTAATCATAGATAGCTTCATGGTGGATTTTTGAGATCAGTATCCTCACTTTGTAAAATTTTTTTCTATAGTCCTGTTTTTGCATGTGAACACTACAGCAGGCTAGTGTGACTCCAGGAAAGCCAGGGAATAGTTCCTGGGATCACATTTCACTTACAGGTTGACCTAGGGAGCACTGGTATTGAAGATGTTAAGTTGCCATGTTTAAAACATCCTTCATTATCAATGCAGCACTTGGGAACTTGAAAGGTTATTTTGCATAGCATTCCTACAGCTCTTGGTAGATAGATCTGCAAGCACTTCTTTTCTTTTGTACTAATGGATGACATCTCATTTTGGAGGAGGAAACCTTTTGTAAACCTTATATGGTTTCTTTTCTGAAGGATACTGATAATTTTAAAAAGCAAAACTTCAGCCACAACTTTATGAAAAATTTAGACCCATGTTTTGAGCCTGTTCCTCCTGCCAACCCCAAAATAGAGGCGGGCATGTTGCAGTGCTCTATGGGAAGAGCTGCTTTTCCCTAGATTTCCACTCACACCATCTTCATAATTATTATTACATTTTTATCATTATTATTAATGTATTTGATACAGGGTCTCACTATGCAACTCGGACTCATAGTGACCCTGCTGTTTTCAGCTTCTCCAGCGCTGGGATTACAGGCATGCACCACCACGCCTGGTTTCAGTGGCCAGCTCAGCGTACCTGAGGGGGGCACCAACATGGCATGTGGTGCTGGGGATCAAACCCAGGTCCCTGCACTTGCCTGAGCAGGTGCTTAGTCCACTGAGCTATCTCGCCAGCCCTGCATGCTGTCTTTAATTTGAGCCTTTTCCCATGCTTCCGCATTGCTGCCTTGTCATTGTGTCCCTTCCTGAGATTGGAGACAAGAGACTTCCTGGGTGCCATGCACCATCCAGAACTCCATGACTCCTCTCCTCTTCCTCTTCTCTGTGCTACTCGGAGGGATCCCTTTCTCCCTGGGTTCCTGCTCCCCATATGACATCATCCTAGCATCTATCTCCAGCGTCTCCCCTGGGCTGTCAGTGGTACACTAGGGTGACTCAGATCCCTTTTGTTTGCATGCTGTGTGTCCAGTTCTCCTGTCTTCCCAGATTGTCAGATGTGTGCCCACAGGCACATTCTTCCCTTGGTACTGTGATGGTTGTCCTTACACTCATAGGCGGTCTCCCCTTACTCTTCGACAGTATGTGTTGTCCTATCCGTGCTTTGAGTCTGTAGAATAGGGGAATTGCTATATAATTAAGCTGAGTCCTTTAGAAACTCAGGATGTCCTAAGACTGACTGAATGTTTTGGGCAGCCGGACTGAAAGACTATCTAAAATTGGTAATGGCTTCTAGGGATCCCAAAGGATGTGAGGAGGACTTTGTGTTTACCTTACCACATACTGGTGTAAAGTACACTTGACAGTTTTTTCTCATTTTGTCATAAGTTAGGAATTGTTTCTTTCTATAATGTCAGCATAACTTGAAAGATAACCCTTCTTGTGTAGCTGTCTGGAACATTTCCCCTGTATTTTCACAGTGTCCAAAGCAAGCAAGGGGCCAGAGTCACTGCAAGTGGGGAGTGCTTGGGGGTGTTTGAGCTGTGTGGCAGAACCACCTCGCTGCAGCCCACGGCGTTTGTGTCTTTGTTGTAGATAACCAGACCACGGCGGTGCCAGTAACCGTGTGCTCTCTCCTTCCACCTTGCCAAGGTCACCTTGGATCTTCAGAACAGCACTGAAAAGTTTGGGGGGTTCCTGCGCTCAGCCTTGGACGTTCTCTCCCAGATTCTAGAGCTGGCGACGCTACAGGACATTGGGAAGGTTTGTGTCTCATCTCCTCCCCCAGCTGTGGCTAGGACACCCAGTGTGTGCCCTGGGGGAGCCTGGTGCTCCAGGTCCATCCTAGAAGCAGGAGGAGCTCAGGAGGACCTGGCCCCGAGCCCATATGCGTGCGCCATGCACCCAGGACTTGATCGCATCCTAGGAGTGGGATATGTGTAGTAGGGCTCGGTTGTTTGTGTCCTGTTTTCAGTGTTAGTTTGTTACCTGTGTCAGCTTAGACCATGATTATTCTAGAAAACTGGGTTTAGAATGTGCTTATAGATCCCGTTGTTTTCTCATTAGAGCTTCTGGGGCCAAAAAGAGCAAAATCCAAGTCTCTGAGGGTGTGAGACTACCCTCTTTTTTGCCTCCGGAAGCAGTAGAGACAGAATCTTCTGCTCTTTGGTTTAACTATAGTGATTTTTCCCACTCTCAAGTCTGGAGGAGGTAGTGAAGAGGCTTTCTGGTAAACATCACGTCAGCACCACAGTCAGATGGAGCTCTGCTTTGTTGTGTATACCCTGCCCTCCTGCCTGTCCCCAGGGCATGACATCTCTAATAGGCTTCAGAGCAAGTCACGGTGCACGTGGGTCTTCTGATGAAAGGCAATGCACATGACCCTGGTATCCACGGGGTGGTTCCAGGATGGGGCGCACGGCCCCTTGGTAACATGGTGGTGCATTTAAATATCATCTGCGTACATCATCTAAATCATCTTGAGGTGCCTCAGGATGCTTATATACGGGATGCATATGTACAATGTAAATGTGGATCAGAGTTGTTACGTTACATGTTTAGGGAATAGTGACAGGCAGAAAAGCCTCCACACTTCTGTGCAGATGCTGCCTTTCTTATATGATCTGCATACAGGTTTCCCTAGCTTTAATCGTCCCACCATTGTTTCTAATCTGCTATTGTGTCAGTCAGGGCTTTACTAGAGGAACAGATAAAATACAAGGAACAGCTATAGCACAAGATGTGCAAATGTACAAGAAAGTACAAGATTGCAGCATCAGACGAGGAAGCGTACAGAGGGCGTCTGCACACCAGGAACTGAAGGATTCAGTCCAAGATCTGGAGCTCACTGCAGTGTTCCCTGCAAGTCTGTATCAGGAGGCCAGTGGGTCTGCGATAGAAGGGATGGAAGGCTGGTGAGTCTGTGACAAAGCTGAAGGATCCAAGGCAGAGGCCCAAGAGTGCACTGGAAGCCGAGATGGGTCCAGAGTGACTAGGAAGACTGAAGTTCCTCTGAGGAAGTGGAATAAGCCGTTCTTCGTCAGTCCTCTTTCTGTAATCCTCTAAGTGCTGAGTCACTCTAGGGAGGCCCACCAGTGCCTTAGGGAAGGACCCCCATGCCCCAGGTCATGGAATAATTGCCCAGCTAATCCAGCCAAATCTTCAACTTCCCAAGTTGACACAATGTGTCAACCACTACAGCAGTCCCTGTGCTTTCTCTGTGTACCAGCTGGTGCCTGCATTGGTTGTTGTTAAAGGCTAGTGTTCTGCTGTGTTGACACTTAGTTATTGTCCCCTCTCTTGTAAACCCTTGAACATTGTCCTTTTCCCCTCTTTTCTAGCAGCGTGCTCTGTCTTATTTCTCTCATGTCTGTACTCTTTGTTTACAATTATAGTAGCTGCTTTTAATGTATTTGGCTAATTCTAAAATCTTGCCAGTTCTGGGCAGTTTCTGACCAATTGCTCCAAGACTTCACTATGGATTGAGCTTTCCTGCCTCTTTGCCTATCTGCTAGTCCTTCTTGGATGCTGTACCGTGAGTTTTATTGTTGCTAGTAGGTGTTTTTGTATTCCCATAAATCTTGAGATGTGTTCTAGGATTCATTCAGTTCAGTTATGTATCATGTTCAGCTGGACAGGTCCAAGGGCTCTGGCAGAGGCAGCGCCTTTCATTCTGTGGCACATTTCCTGTCCCGAGGACAGAATTGGATATGCATACAAGTAGATACTTGATGACCTAGTTAAGGAATAAGAGTGAAAGAATGATTTTCATGCATCTGCTTGGATTTCAAGATCTTTGACTATGACTAATCAAGGTGACAGATTGAAAACTTTTCTTTGATTTTCCCTCTGATGTTAAAATGAAACTATTTTATGTCCCTGATTTCTGTCTTCGATTCACACAATGATGGGCTGTGTGTGAATCACTTAACATCTTACTGTCTTCTCTCAGTGTGTTGAAGAGATCCTGGGGTACCTGAAGTCCTGTTTTAGTCGGGAACCGATGATGGCTACTCTTTGTGTCCAGCAGGTGAGGGTACTATGTTGTCCTTTTTGGGTAAACCCTCCAGCCCAGCCACTACACATTGCTTCTTCAGAAGCTGTGGCTATGAGTAGGAGTGGGTGGATGTGATACAAGCAGTCATTCAGTTGCCTCATGATTAGGTCAGCGGGGGGTTGTCCGCCCTCCCAGGAGGCCGTAGATCATCACTGCGGGGGGACAGAGGACATCAGAAACTGCACTGGGCCCTTGCCACTTACTCGGATCTGTCTTCAGAAGTCCTGCCTCACTTAGACTCACCAGAATGCCCAGACTCTTCCCCACGGCAGTGGTCTCCCAGGGTTACAGCAAGAATTGCACGGGTGAAAGGGAGAGTCTTAAAGTATTGCTCATGCTGCATGTAATCAGCCACTGGTGTTTCAATTCTTTCTCTCCAGCTGTTGAAGACTCTCTTTGGGACAAACCTAGCCTCGCAGTTTGATGGCTTATCTTCTAACCCCAGCAAGTCTCAAGGCCGTGCACAGCGCCTTGGCTCTTCCAGTGTGAGACCGGGCCTGTACCACTACTGCTTCATGGCCCCCTACACCCACTTTACACAGGCACTTGCAGATGCCAGCCTGAGGAACATGGTGCAGACGGAGCAGGAACACGATACCTCAGGGTACATTGTGGTGGGGTTGGCCCCTTCTGGAGGCACACAATAGCCAGAAGGGAATGCTTTGGAAAAAAATTTAAAAATTAAGATGTTAGCATCTATCAATAGTCCACAATGTTCATAGGAGTCTGGGAAATAGGGTTGATGCAAAGATGAGGAAGGCAGAGTTCCTGCCTTCCCAGAGCACCCAGTCCAGCCAGTGGGCTTGGGGTAGGGGCTGTGCCCCTCAAGGGTGGCGGCGGCCTGAGGAGCACCATGCTTCTGGATAGGACCCGCAGACCAGGCCTGGGACGTACCCTGTCCTCACGTGTCGAGAACTTCTTTGCTAGTGCTTCTAGGTGACATTTTCCTGTTTCCCCTATAGTAATATGGTATATATTGGTAGCACTTTTTGGATTTAAAGATGAAAGGCTGCCTTCAGAGTGTCAGAATGGAATTAGTGTTTACAGGTATTTCAAGAGCATAGAAAAGTCTTGGATGTATTACTTTGTGTTTTATAAACTAATATCTTAAACACACGTATAGTGCCAGCACTGCTGATGGCTGAGGTGAGTGGATTGCAAGTCTGAGCCCAAACTGGGTGACTTTGATCCTGCTCTGAAGGGAGGGCATACAGCTCAGTGTGAAGGCCCTGAGCTCAGTCATTCCCCTAAAAGAACTTTATGGCTAAAATTCTTGTTTCATGTAAATTTGTTGCTTTGATACCTGGAATACAGAAAATATTCTTTTCCCCTTTCCTCATCAAACCCGAAGCCTCATACAAGCTAAATGAGTACTCTGCCAACGAGCTGCCTCCCCAGCCCATGTGTTTAATTACCATAATTATTAGCAAGGATTTTATTTGCTACTCTGTATAGTAACAGCAGCAGAATCTTTGGCTTTTCCTTGTAAGTATAGTGATCAAATACCTGTAATTCAGGAATTTGAAAGAATTAATATTTGAAAGTCAGGAATGAAAGACAGTGTCTGTGTTCTAGGCGTTATGTTGGTCATATGCTGTCATTCCTGATTTAATGTCTCAACCTAGTTACTGTTTGGAGTTGGACTTACAGCCCGGCCTCCTTTTGTACAGTCCTGTACATCTTGTTTACTGAGCCTTAATATGTTTTTGGTACTTTCCACATTGTTTATGTAGTACAGTGTTTGGTGCTGATTGTACTATATAGTGCTTTAGTTTTATGTTCTGTTACATATTGCAGTACTCCGTGTAAGAGTTATGCAAATCAAAGCAAAGTCATCAAGTTGGAGTTTCCTTGTACTACTTCTTTGTTCTGAATATTGTAATGTTCACACTGTACTCAACTCCTCATTTAGTGACCAATTCAGTTAACAACCTAGTGCAGGACCACAATTTAGTTATTAAACAAGGAATGTCTGCACAGGTTATATGTCTAGTTTTAGGAATTGTGTAAATGTTTTTATAATTATATACAGTGAACATAGGCTAGTGATTGTGTGTAGGACCACATGCATGTGTTACTGGGTACTTTTTGCTTGTGAGCTGGGGTCTCATGATGTCACATAAGCTGGTCTCTAGCTTGTGGCATCAAGGACCCTCTGTCCTCAGTCTCCTGTGTACTGAGACTACAAGCATGTGCCACAACACTCAACAGTGTAAGTCCTGTAATTTCAGACATATTTTATAAAAACAAAAGGACATCATTGCTGTGAATATCTTTTTCCCCAAGAAAGCCACATGGTAATTGCCAGTCTTTGATGACTGTTAACCTCTCTCAATCTTCAGAACTCGAGGAGAAAAGCTCAGACTTGAGTCGCTTTTTCTGGGTGTCCAGACTTGGGCTGTCAGGCAGCTGCAGATTCCCGATTGCCTTATTACCTCGGTGCACGCAGCGCCTTGCAGCTGCAGTTCCTTCTCCTCACACCTTCTGTCTTGTGAGCATGACATTGGTGTGACCTGAAGGAGGGCCGAATGTGAAGAAAGTCACTGACAGTTCTGCTTCCTCTGGCAGATGGTTTGATGTGCTCCAGAAAGTGTCCTCCCAGCTCAGGACAAACCTCACAAGTGTCCCTAAGAACCGTGCGGACAAGGTGAGTAGCTTGCCTGGTGGCAGCTCACAAGCACACTGTGTGAGCACGGGTGCTGGCGACTTGTGGGCCCTGGCCTGGAGCCTGGTGGCTGTGCACTTACAGCCCCTTCTCTGTTAACAGAGCGCCATTCACAGCCACATCCGTTTGTTCGAGCCTCTCGTCATAAAAGCTCTGAAGCAGTACACGACGACAACCTCTGTGCAGCTGCAGAGGCAGGTGCTGGGCTTGCTGGCGCAGCTCGTTCAGTTGCGCGTGAACTACTGCCTGCTGGACTCAGACCAGGTGTGTCGCTTCCTCTCTTCCCTGGAGGGGCCCTGGGGTTTGCTTTTTGTCCAGGGGCTGCTGCCCTTTTCCCCTGAGTGGGGTGACAGGTGCAGAAGGCCGGGGTGCTTCACGTCTGTGGCACACTGTCCTTGGGTTAGGCTCAATCACCTGCCAGAAGTCTCCGACAGCCCCACACTCCACTCAAAGATGTATTTGCATTTAAATGGTAAGGTACAGTGTAAGTTTTGCAAAGTCCACAAACTTAAAAGACAGATGGATACTTAGTGTCTGCACTTCTGAGCAGTTGAAACATTTGTTCACCTTTGTGCTCCTGAACTGCAGGCAGCAAGCTGTCACCTAGCAAAAGGGTTGCTGTCCCTCCATAGCTGGTTAAGTTCCTTCCGGAGGCAGGACTCAGGGTGCCTTCATTGGTTCAAGTTACCTTTAAGCCATCAAAGTAGGACTCAATTTTGGGCTGTGATCTCGGGCAAGTTTCTATGTGAGGAAGAAGTTTCTTGACATGGAAATACTGTAATTCCGTATTACCTGTGTCTTCATAGCCTCTTGGCTTCTTTACTCATCTTAAAGGCTTCATTCCTGGACAACTAGGGAAGCTCTGATTTCCGCACAGGTGGTCTGGGTGGGGTGGGTCGGTCAGTCGGTCCGTCCGTCCGTCCGTCCGTCCGTCCGTCGGTCCGCGCGCCCCCCCCCCCCGGCCCCCCCCCACCCCCCCCCCCCCCGGTCTGTCTCTCTGCAGTACCAGGGATTGAACTCAGGACCTTATTCTGCTGAGCTATCTTCCCCAGCCTTAATAGATGAATGCATACAGCTGGCCCCTGCGAGGCTCAGCCCACCCTGGGGGTGGGGCTGGCATGTCATGTTGTGCTGGAGATCGAACTCTGGTTGTTGTGCGCTTGCCTAAGTAGGGACTTTAGACCACTGAGCTATCTTGCCAGCCCAGGGCCTGTTTCTAATGAGGAGAAGTAATGGTGGAGCTTTGGTAGGGCCTGACCTTTCATGGTTTCTTATGTTATAAAAGCTGTCAGGAAGAGATCAGTGCAGCTGACCCAATCACCTCTTCTGCCGCTCGCTCGAGGTGGTGTAAGGAAGAGCCTGGTCTGTGGCCTTGGGCTGCTGGGGCTGGGTCAGGGATTCAGAGATGAGGGCTTCTGGAGCCGCAGCTGGGCGCCTCAAGGAAGCCAGGTGCCAGTTGCTGTGTTGGTAGTAATGGGTCGGAGACTCATCGTCGTGCGTCCTGTTGGCAGAGGTAGAAGCTAGTGTGCCTCTAGGATAGCTGTAGAGTGTGGTCTCTTTCTGGGCTGTTTTTAGTAGGCAGAGAGAGTAAAGAGCTCTCTACTCTGACACAAACTCATCAGCAGACTTGGCTATCTTCCTGGATTCTTCATTCTCCCTGGAGCCTTTTCTCAAACGTGTAGTAATTTTTGTTACTCCCTTCTGGTGTCCTAGAGTCTCCACATGGTATTTAGCTCTTGAGAGAGGCCAGCTGAGATTCCCATGTGCCCTGCTGGCCTCTGCACATGCTGACCTCACTGTAGCAGATACGTTGCCCTGGGCCCCAGCCTTTTGCCTCATGCCAGCAAAGCCCTCTCCTGATGGCCCTCACTTGGGGAAGGCTCTTTCTTGGTATGAGTACTCTGCCTCCTGTGTCCCCCCATCTCTCAGAATCCACTACAGGACAGTTCTGTGAACAAGGGTGGGAGACTGGAGTAGACAAATTATTGCACTGTGCAGGGCTCAGAGGGTCAGTGGGTGTTAGTCCTGTGTCTTCTGGGAACTTCCTGTCAGGGCAAGAGTGACACAGATTGGCTGTCGCCATCACCTGCCACTGCTCCTCTGGGGTCATGCAAGACTCCAAGGTGTAGGAGGGAGAAGACTGAGGCATCGTGCTGCTCAGCTCACCACTCCCTGGAGCTCATGGTCCCCCAGACGTGATTGGGGTGACACTTGGTGTCTCCTGGAATTTGTTTTCCCAGTGCGGTTTCACCTCAGTGTGTAGTAATGTTGGTTTTGAAGGAACTGCTCTGCAGTTACCTTGTATGACTTGAGAGTAGATTTCACTTCGTGATTGTAAACCAATTGGCAGTCTCATTACAGTTTTGCACAGATGTGCAGGAGGAAAAACAAAGCTGGTATTTACATTTTGATCGTACTATTGGTGTGAAACTCTTCCTGCCTGCAGGTATTCATTGGATTTGTGCTGAAGCAGTTTGAATACATCGAAGTAGGCCAGTTCCGGTAAGCATTGTGTTTCTTGGAGTTCTTAACCCTCCAGTACATGTGGAGACTCTAGGACACCAGAAGGGAGTGTATATGTAATGTTAAGTTATTAAGATAGATGTTTCCTTTAAAGGACCATAAGAGTTTTTCTGAGGTCTTTTTCCCCTCCTTATGGAATCTGAGTAACGTGGTATATATAGTTCTTTAACTGCTAGCTATGTATGTTGTCAGTTTTCATTTCACATTTCAAAGCATTTAAAATGGTAATAGATTTCTGAGTGCATCTTATTGCAGGAAAGACTGCTTCCTCTAATCTTAGAAAAAGCATTTTTATAGTAATGTCTTTATTGAGTGATATTATGTACTTTACATACATTGGCGGCAGCTTTTCCTTGCTAGACATTAAGGGTTTAGTGCATCTTGTCATACCTGTTATAGATCTGTAAGTATAGTAATTGAATGTAAAATCTCAAATTTCTGAAGGTCTCAAGTAGTTTTTAATTTTTTTAAAAAATATATTTAGCACAAGGTCTATAGGGCCTGACTACACAGATTGGACTTGAAGTGATCCTCCTATTTCTCAGCTTCCCAAGTGCTGGGATTGCAGGCATATGCCACCGCTCCCAGTCCCAGTTGCCATCTCAGTGGACTCTGGGGGCAGGGCCGCGCTGCCACCACCTCCTGCCACCGAGGAACCCCTTAGCCACACTGCGCTGGCATTTTGGTTGGCTAACGGCCTGCCCTTTTTTTTTTTTAATGTTTGGCCAACTCAGCCTGCCATATGGGTGGGGCTAGCACAGCATGTGGTGCTGGAGATCAAACCGTGGTCCCTGGTCGCTTGCCTAAGCAGGTACTTCTGACCACTGAGCTACCTCACCAGCCCTCAGATAGTTTTTGAGCTAGTATGGGAGTGTTTGTTGAGTCCCTGGGGGCCTAGGTGTTTTCTGATTGGGTAAGATACCCTGAAGTAGTTTTGCACAAGGTACTTTTGTCTCCCTTGAGTATTTAAGAGTGAAAGGGGAGTTAGGGACGTGAGGAGATTGTATTTGCTGGGTGTCCGGTGTTGCCAGTTGTCCTCCGCCGGCTGCTGTGCGCCCTCAGACCCCGCTGCCCTTGTGGTGCTATATTGCTTCAGCTTAGGCTCCTCTGTGTTTCAAGGTTGAGTCCTGAGGTAAGTATGCTATTTACAGTAATCATGTATCTTAATTGTAAAAAGAAATGGCTAACTGGTTGTCCTTATTTCCAGAGAATCAGAGGCAATTATTCCAAACATCTTTTTCTTCCTGGTATTACTGTCTTATGAGCGCTACCATTCAAAGCAGATCATTGGAATTCCTAAAATCATCCAGCTCTGCGATGGCATCATGGCCAGTGGGAGGAAGGCTGTGACCCATGGTAACAGTGCACACTTGCCTTGCCCCAGTGTCGCGACGTGCCTGACAGGGCTACTCTTCCACCCACGTTCAACCCTGAGTGCTGGCTCTGTGCTATGTGGAGCTGTGTGTATGACATATGTGTACCGTTGTGTTGTGTTGTATTGTGCATGCGGCTGTGTGTGTGTGTGTGTGTGTGTGTGTGTGTGTGTGTGTGTCCATATATGTGGTTATGGACACAGAGATATTTAGGGAAAGACCTCGCTGTATCCTCAGAGGAGTTTGTGATTTAATTAGGAGGAAAGGCATAAGAAACACAAAGTATAGACAGAACTGTTGCCATTTATACAAAACAAAATCTTTTATTTTTAAAATTTTTTCTTATTTAATTATTTTTGCTTTTTTTTTTGTACTGGAGATTGAACTCAGGACCTTGCACTTGCCAGGCTTATGCCACTGAGCTATCTCCTTAATTATTTTTTTGTAAGGCTGTGGTTCAAACCCAGGGCCTCAGGCATGCTAGGCAAGCATTGCCACAGAACTACCCTTCAGCCCAACAAAATTTTTAAATCCAGCATTGGCTTATTTCACATTTGTATTTGTTTTCCAGTGGTATAGGAAGGTATGGTTGGAATTGGATTTGCGGCTGTTTTGCCTCAGTGTTTCATGGGAGCTTCAATGAAGCCCCTGGAGACTAGTCAACTACTCAGCTGGCTTCCTCCCAGCCTGTGGAAACAAGAAGAGGTGTGAGTGAAGAACACGCTGTAATCTTAGGCCCTTTGGAACTCATTGTCCAGCATTTCCCTGGTGGCCCATCCCTGCTCTTTTGCCAGATGTGTGTTCTCTCATTGCTGTGACAAAGTACCTGACACCCATTGCTAAAAGAGCAAAATTTATTTAGCTCACAGTTTGTAGGCATTTCAGTCCATAATCAGCTTGTGGACTAAAAGGCAGGGTAGCACATGGCAGAGGAGAAATGCATCGTAGCAGAGGACAGCAAAAGCAGCGAGTGAGGTGAGAGCAAGCCTCTTTCCTGCCTGGATACTGTGTGCAGGCTGTCCACCTAGGGCAGATGTCGCTCTCACACCCCTAATCCCAGCATTTTGACCATAAGTCAGTCACAAATTCTAGAAGTCCCTCCCCATGACTCCGGGAGGCTTTGTGTGGCCATCTATAGACAAACCATAACACCCCACTCCTTGGCCCCCACAGATTCATGCACATGCATCCCTTTATGCAAAAGGCATTTTATTCCATCTCCCAAGAGCTGCCAAGGTTCTAACAGGTTCAGCATTGTTAAAAAGTGCAAATCTTCTCTGAGAGTTAAAGCAGATTCTTAGCTGCAAGTCCCTGTGCCGGTGAAAAGAAAGTTAAAACACTTCCAACATTGAAGGCCATAAGATAGACATTTCCATTCCAAAAGTTACAAGCAGGGGAATACAAAGGAATAGAAGCAAAGTAAGTCCATAATCCAGCAGGACAAACATTAATTCCTGTAGTTTCTTGTGCAGATCTAAGGCAGGCTGTGGCAAGGTGTGTATTCCAAAGGGCTTGGGTGGTTCCACCCTATGGCACTGCTCATGATCGTAGCTCCTATGGCTTCCCTTCTTGGGCCAGCTCCTCTCCCTCCTTGAAGTTCTCCTCAGACGATCCACATTCCTGGATTTTCCAAACTTCTGGAGTCTCCACTCCACCTTTGGTTTTACACTCATGGCTTCATACACTGCGCTTACAGGGGAACACTGCCTGGCCTCTCAGGCCTTCTGAAATCCAAGTGGGAGTTGTTCTGACCCTATAGCTCTTTCATTTTCCACGCATGCCAAACCAGCACCACGTGGATAAGGCCAAGGTCTGCTGCCATGAGGAGCAGTGGGCAGGCTTCCCTCTCTTGGCTGTAGGGGTCAGTTCAGTTCTGAGGAACAGATTCTCTGTGTTGCCATCATTCTAGAATATGGTGCTCCACTGCTTGCTTCTCAGAGCAATCTTTTACTTTTGCAAGTTGAGACAGCGAAGAGTGAAGACTTGCTGCTTCTTGTGTTGCCCTGAAGCCATCTTGTCTATTTTCCTGTTCTTTCTCAGCAGTGAGGATCTCCTCTGCTCTATCTTTGTAGTCCAAAGCTTTACTGGAGCTTCCTTTCTGGCCAAACTCACAAAGTTTTGTCATTCTACTGAACTCTTTGCTCTTGATTCTCAACATAAATCTGGCCATAACATTGCCTCAACATTCAACTGCCTTGAAATTTCTTCTGCCAGATTAATTATTCTTCTCTACCCTTAATCTCAGTCTCAGGCAAAGTCGCTGGACACAAGCACTAGGCAGACAGACTTTCTGCATAACATATATCATCTAGAGTCCAATAACCAATGATACCTTTTTTTTCCAACAGAAACCCTTCTGGGCCTAGTCTTTACTGACAGAATTTCTGTCAGCCTTCTGTCTGGTCTTCTGAGCTCTGAACAGAATCTCCCATACAGAACAGCCTAAGTGTTCCAGCTCTCCTTTTTCAGCCAGCATATCCAAACTTTTTAAACACTTCCCACAACTTTTCCCAAAGACTCCTCAACCACGTGTTCAGGTTTAGTCATAGCAACAGATCCTCTTATCTAGTACCAGAATATGGAACAAGATGCAGCCCCTTTTTTTGCTCTTGTTGCTTTGGCTGTCTTTTGCCACGATGAACCGGTGCCCTCTGCCTTGTGCCACCCTGCGTTAGAGCCAGCCGATTATGTACTGAAACCTGTACAAACTGTGAGCTAAATCATCCTTTCTTCCTTTAGCCTCGTGTGTCAAGTATTTTGATTTGGCGACAAACATTAACTAAGACACCAAGAATCTAAGCTTTTGCCCTTTGCTGGGAAGAATCTTCACACCCCTAAGGACCCACAGACTGGAGAAAGCCACTGCCACGCCAGTCCAGGCAGTGGCCCCTTGCTGTGTCTGCCTCTGTGTCTGCAGGGAGAGTATGAGCAGAGCGGTGCTGGGCTGGGCGCTCAGCAGAAGGCTAAGTGCTGACGTCCTAGCGTTCAGACCACGGGGCGTAGTTGAACAACAGAAGTTGAAAACAGGAAGTAGGGTTTCCAAGGGCTTAGGCCATCTTTGGACAAAGAACTCACGGGCAGCTAGACCCAGTACTGTCTGGAACCATGCTTGCTTACTGGGTGGAAGATGGGCATGTTTACCTGAGTGTGCATGTCTTTAGGGGCAAGAGGGTCTGTGAGGGTGTCACAGAGAGTCAGAATACTGTGTGTGTGTGTGTGTGTGTGTGTGTGTGTGTGTGTGTTTGATTGAACTGAGGGTCTGTGTACCAGTTAAAGTCATTTATTTTATAGTTTTGCTATGTGGTTATAATAGACTAATGAAATTAGCTTGACTCCTCTTTTAGACCAATGTAAGACATGGGGAAACCTTATATCCTAATGAGAGAGTAAATTCACCTAAAACATTTCTAAACTATAACTAAATATATTCTATCGGAAAAGTATCCTTGTCTTTTTAGGTAAATCAAATTAGTTGTGCATGGATGTTGCTATTTTGATTATTTGAAAGTTTTACTATTTTTAAATTGACTCTTACTGTTCATTTATTTATCTTTTGGGGAGTCCTCGTAATGCAACTCATGACCTCATGGGTGCCAGGCATATTTGATGCTGCTGAGCTGTATCCCTGGCCTTAAATTGACTCTTGGATTTGAATTATCTTTTATCATAAGTGATTTTATATTATAGAAATTCTAGAGTTCTTTTTTTGTCTTTGTGTTTTTTCAATTATTTTTTATTTTTATGGTCCTGGGACCTCATATATGTTTTTCAGGTTCTCCACTCTTGGCTACATCCCTTCACTCATTCATTCTTTATTTATTTTTGTATTTTGAGACAGGGTCTCACTATGTAGTCCAGGCTGGCCTCAGACTCAGTGTAACCCTGGCTGGCCTTGAACTCATGGTAATCCTCCTGCCTCAGCCTCCTGAGTGCTGAAATTACAGCTGTGTGCGTCCATGCCTGGCCCAATGCTTTTTTATACAAACTTCATAGAACTCTTAGTGCTCAGAGGAAGAACCTTGACTTTCCCCAGTGATATCATAATGATTTTACAACTTCATCAGTTATCACAAGCAAGTATGGGTTATGGTTTTATTTCATGAAAGCATTTTGGAGGTGTTTAGATCCATCTAGCAAACATCGTTTTCTCATAAGGTCTTAATTAGCATGCTCTTGTACCCACAGCAATCCCAGCTCTGCAGCCTATAGTCCACGACCTTTTTGTGTTAAGAGGAACAAATAAAGCTGATGCAGGGAAGGAGCTTGACACCCAGAAGGAGGTGGTGGTGTCGATGCTGTTGCGACTCATCCAGTACCATCAGGTAGGAGGGAAGTATGGTGATGTTCATGGGCTCTTCATTGTCTCTGGATATGGGACAGAATGCCTTGTGATCCAGCCTGCACTCAGCAGTGGGGGACAGCACTGACACTCGGGGAAAGCCCATGGCAGGAGGGGCAGTAAGCCTATGACGGTGAACCTTGAGGAGCTTTCCATGATAACAGCCTGCTGCAGCAGTTCGGTATGTCTTTAAAGCTGACTCAGCCTGGGCTGCACCTGCCACCTGGCTGACAATCCTGATACTTTTCCAGCCAGTGAGGCTGGGCCCTCTTTTCCAAAGCTAGGGTGAAGACTCATTCAGAAGGGAACATTACGTTGGGAGCATTCTGAAAAACAATGTAAGACTCAAGTCTGAAATAAACACTTTTTTTTTTTAACTTCCAGCTATTTTGACAGGGTCAAGGTCTTGTTCTCTGAACTGACTTCTGATTGTTTTTCCTAAGGAGCAGGAATTTGAAGACATTTGGAGACAGCCCAAGCTCAGCTCTCGTAGTTTCTGTTGTAAGCCTGTGCTGTTGCACAAGCCTCTTTTACCTTCTATGTTCCTTTTTGCTTTTTGGATCTCTATGAAACCCTAAGCTTTCCTCATGGAAGGAAATAGTACTTGCATACATGTTTTCATGAGGTTGTGTAATGCTTGACAGAACACCTCGTGTTTGATTCCCTGATTACAGTAACTGACAGAGCACCTCACGTTTAGTTACCTGATGACAGTAGCACTTTGAGAGTGAGCACCTGCAGGTGGCAAGCTTCCGGCCACGTGGTCACATTACAGTCCCTGCTGCCCACTGCTGCATTGGCATGCTGGGGCCAGGGAAGCTGTGCTGGAGAAGTAGGCAGTGGGCAGCCCTGTGGCTGTCCCAAGTGAGTGCCATGCGAGAGATGGTCGGAGACGCATTCTCAGAGGACACCAGTGTGCAGTCGAGGCACGCAAAAGTGTAAAGGCACCCGTAGCATGGCTTTGTTGGGCTGGATTGGTTTCCCAAAAGTAGGAGGGTGCCTTTCATTTTGTGCCTTTCTCCGATCATGAAGTCTTGTAACTTCATGGTGCTAACTGACCACGAGTCACCCTGACCAAGGAAGGGAACCTAGAGGCACGTGCTGGTGTCTGCACATGCATCCCTGTGGGTCCTCCATTCACGTGTACTAGGCTAGCACTGTCTGCTTCCTGTGTCCTCACAGTGGTTGGGAGGCTGAGATGGGGGGTGCCAACCCCAGAGCCTTGCAGCTGCCTTGGAACCATTGTAGGGGTGAACAGACATGTAGGGGTGGTAGGGTGCACCGAGCTGAGGGCTCCCTTGGTGTGCACAACGTGGACTCTTGCAGGTGTTGGAGATGTTCATCCTCGTCCTGCAGCAGTGCCACAAGGAGAACGAGGACAAGTGGAAGCGGCTGTCTCGGCAAGTTGCCGACATCATCCTACCCATGCTTGCCAAGCAGCAGGTTTGTCACCACACTCTTGACTCATTGTCTTGCAGTAATTATGACTTATTTCAGGGTAGACTAAGATCCTGATCAGAGTGGGTTGGAGAGCAGCTTTTCCTCAAATTGTAATTTTTCCCCTTTGAGAGTTCTGTGTAGTCAGAGCAGACAGTTACCTCCAAGTGGGAGTTGTCTGGTGAAAGCAAGGCTCAGAGGGGCCATTTCAGTTCTTCAGGTTACGCAGCTCAAGAGTGCTAGGAGTGAGGTTGCCCTAGTCCTGCTCCATAGTTTGGGAACTTTGCTCTTTTATATACACCATGTCCTTCATTTTGGTCATGTAGGTGTTCTGTTTGATTTTTTGCTTTCTAGGTTTTCCCTTACCATTTGTAAAGTAACTGAGTAGTTACTCTTTACTGAATCAGAATTTCTGTAGCCAAAGAACAGGCCTGGTGGTTTGCGCAGATGCCACGCAGGAAGCAGTCTAGGCAGGTACCTCAGGTAGAGCCAGGCTGGCCTGGGTCCAAGGCCACCTGAGCCCTAGATGTCTCTGTACCTGGGGAGCAGCACCTTTGTACCAGGGAGGGTGACAGGGGCCTGCTGTAGTTGTGGGTGTGTTCGTCACGTCATCCGCATTGCACAGGTGCCCTGAGTAGCACGGTGGCCCTCGTTGTTGGCACTTGATAAATCCTGCAGGCTGGCTGGACTGCCGGACAGCTGCTGTCTTCATGAGTCTGCCCCTTTCAGATTTCCTGAGAGCACTCGGACAATGGCAGATGTCTTGGCTTTTCAGGAGATTGGCAGACAGTAGTTTGCAGTGGTCAGGGACTCCGTGCCTATAGATGGTTTCTTCAGAGGATTGGAATGGGAACTTGCTTGCTGCATATTTACCTGTTTGTTTTTAGACAGGATCTTACTTATGTAAGAAGGTGAGGGTAACAGAACAGTAAATTAAAGAAGTATAGAAAATGTTAGGTGACAAAAATCAAATTGCACGGGAAATACTTGAAAGAAACACTTCTTATTGAGAAGTTTTTGCACGTCAAAAGAAATTATCAACAAAGTGAAAAGACAACCCACAAACTTCGAAAAAATCTTAACTAATAAATACTCAGACAAAAGTCTGCTCTCTAGAATTTATAAAGAACTAAAGAACATTAGGGCCCCTAAATTTAAAGACCCAATCCAGAAATGGGCGTCCGAGATGAACACACACTTCTCAGAAGACAAATTTAAAGAAGCAAATAAATATATGAAAAAATGCTCCTCATCACTAGCCATCCGTGAAATGCAAATTAAAACAACACTGAGATACCATCTCACCCCAGAAAGATTGGCTATCATAAAGAAATCAACCAACAACAAATGTTGGAGAGGCTGTGGGGAAAGGGGAACCCTTCTCCACTGTTGGTGGGAGTGTAGACTGGTGCAACCATTATGGAAATCAGTGTGGAGACTCCTTAGAAAACTAGGACTGGAAATCCCATTCAAGCCTGCTATTCCCTACTGGGAATTTCCCAGAGGAACTGAAAGCATCATATCATAGTGATATACACGTACCTATGTTTATAGCAGCACAATTTGTGGCAGCCAGAACATGGAAACAACCAAGATGCCCATCACATGTGGAATGGTTGAAAAAGATGTGGTACTTTTATGTAATGGAGTATTACTCAGCTATAAAGAATGATAAACTCGAAGCCTTCATATTTAAGTGGATACCACTTGAAGATATTCTTATAAGTGACATAAACCAGACCCACATGTGTAAATATCGTATTGTCTCCCTAGTATAAGAACTTAAAAGAGGAATTACATGTAGAAAAGTTACAACACAAATAAAAGGAAAAAAAAAAGTTAGGTGATAATATGTTCTCTGTAGAGAAACTAAGGAAAGAAGAGATCAGAGGAGTATTGGAGCAAGGGAGGTACTGTTCAGTCGGTGACAGGAAAAAGCCTTGCCTCATAAGTGACATTAGAGGAAACATGAAGGAAAGCAAGGGGTGATTCTTACAGATCTGTGGGGAAGCATGTTCTAAACAAAGTGGGCCTTGGCACCAAGGCCCTGTTAGGATGTGGCAGCCACAGGAAAAAGCATAGCAGGGAGGCCAGCATCATGCATTTGGGAGTGGTGTGGTGTGGTTGCAGTTTTATTCCCAAACTGAGAAGAGACTCCAGGCAGATGAGGTTGGGGGGGGAGGTCCCAAGGAATTCCACGCTAGAGTGGGGTGGTGACTCATGGATCTGGGAAAGTAAAAGCCTTAGCTGAGGGACTCGAGGGAGAAGCATCACAGGTGGTGTCAGGGTAGTGACAGCTGTCATGGACAAGGGGGGACAAAGGTCAGAGCCCTGTGGAGGAGCCTGTGGAGGGGATTGGAAAGGACAGCCAGAGACTGGGTAGGAGACTACAGAGCTGTGAGTTTCCCAAAGCTGGGCTTGCGGAAGGCATGGCCAATGTGATGTAGGGCACATGCCCATAATTCCAGCACTCTGGAGGCTGAGGTAGGAGGATCAGGAGTTTTGGCTTCACCTGCAGCCTAGCATGATCTAAAACACAAGTCTCTGTGTCAGTAAACCAAAAGAAAAGTATTTCTGTTAGACTTGGGGATGTACACATTTAATCACAGCTGCTCAGAAAGCTGAGGCAGGAAGATCATAAGTTCAAATACAGACATGGCAACTTGAGACTGTCTCAAATAAAATTCATAAAATGGCATGGGGTGTAACTCAGGTTAGACCACTTGCTTAACATGTGTGAGGCCCTTAGTTCAGTTTTCAGCAAAACACACACACACACAGACACACACACACACACACACACACATACTTCATGGAGGAGCTGTATTCAGAAAAATCCCACTGATACGGTATCCACCGTACTGATTACTCAGCTGGGATCAGCAGCACCAGGGCCACTGAGGAGCAGTTTCATGAGAAAGTCAGATTGTGTGAGAATGAGCCAGAAGAGAGAGATTTATTGGAAGAAGGAACAGAGAGGTGGGGTCGTAGCCAGAAGGGAAGAGGTCAGTGGGGTTACGCTGACAGAAGTGAAGGCTTCCAGATACATGAGCACCAAGGACAAACAGTTGCCGTCAAGTCTCCACTGGCACGTGCACCGTTAGCATGGGCTGGGAGAGTGACAGTGGAGGTGGCACTGCCCCGGCCCGGGCCACAGCCCTGCAGTTCTGCGTGGTGTCCGTATCTTACCATGCAGCTCAGTTCTGTGAGTTGTTGCAAGGATGTGCATCAGAGTCAGTGCCCAGCAGTAGCAGTGTAATTTTTGAGTACATAAATTTAGTTGGGAATGTTTTGCATTCATTAAAGGTAATGTTAGAATTTAAACCAGTTGCCTTGTAACTTTTCTTTTTCTTGCATTCTTCATTTGCTGTTTAATGTTTTGGTGCAGAGGGTCTCCTGCTTGCTAGACAAGTGTTCTGCCACTGTGCTAAATCCCTAGCCCCTTACTTGTGTATTAGTTATTTTTTATAGGGATCTGTTGGTCTCAGTCAGATCAGTTCTGCCCAGGGAGAAATGGTGACAGGAATGTGAAAGATAGACAAGAAGACAAGGGCCAGGCTGGATGGTCGCGGTCTGCCTGGTAGACATGACTCACATGCCAGCACAGCGTGTATACTTTTGCAGAGTTAGTAACACACAGGTTTCGTAGTGACTAGTAGGCATTAACCGGTCAGGATGCTTGTCTCAGGACTGAGGTAGCTTGTTTGCCTTAGGCATTGAGGCCTAGTCCCGCCTACACACCTTTGACTGATTTTTCCAGCTTCTGCAGCTCCCAGAAACTTTTCCCATGTCTGGGACAATATTCCAGATCTGTAGTGCGAAAGAGGTTTGTTTATATTGGCTTCTGGCTTCAGTGCTTGGTCATCTAACTCCAAGGCGGAAATAGCAGGGCAAGGGACCCTTGTGATGAGAAGGTGCTCAGCCCATGACAGCCAGGAAGCGGTGTGTTGGGAGGACCCAAGGCAAGAACATGCCCTTCCTCTTGGGACCTCTTGGTGATCAGCTTCCAGCTCTAGCGAGCCAGCCCAATGGTGAGCACAGTGCCCATGGTGCACACACTCCATCCAAACTTAGCACCTTGGGAGTTCACTCTATTCTGAAGCTAGAAAAGCAGACACATTCTTTGTGTGCTTTCTCAGAATGGAACAAGAGCATGGAGAGAGCACCCAGAGGTCTGTGCCTGTTTGTTACTGTTTGTTACTCGCGGACAAGGTGACGGTCAGGTCTAGGTACAGCAGAAGCTGAAAGAAGCAGCATGTGTCACATCCCGTGTACACATGTAGGAAGAGATGCATGTACTCTGTGTGCGAGTGCTTATAGCAAATGTTCACGGTGGCTCCTTCCAGGTGATTCATTTCATACTTTTGTATATGTGATCCTTTCACCAAAAGCAAGTATTATTTGGATAAAAATCTAAGTGGAAAGATTTTCCATGGGGGAAAAACTAGCTGCTAGCACACTGTCCTGAAAGGTGGCTCATTTAACTACTGAGCTTAGAGGCCCTTCAGTGCAAGGGGGTAATGGTGTCCATGACCTTGTACCTGGGGAACATGAACTGGCATTTCCAGTGTAGGCTTGCCTGGGAACACCTGTGGTGTTTAATCCCACAGATGCATATTGACTCTCATGAAGCCCTTGGAGTGCTAAACACTTTGTTTGAGATTCTGGCGCCTTCCTCCCTCCGTCCAGTGGACATGCTTTTGCGCAGTATGTTCGTCACTCCAAGCACACTGGTGAGTTTCCCAACGCCTCCGAGCCCCTGGAGGACTCCTGCTGTGGAGGGGGTGGCGGAGGATTTATACTTGCTGCCTTGACTCGGGCCCACCAGGAGAAGCATAGGTGTAAGGATATATTGGCGGAATGGTAAAACTGAGCTGATTTTCTTTTATAAAATAGGCAATTGGAGGAAATTTAGTATTTTGTTCTTTTTGTAGCTATAACTTAATTTGTCTCCTTTAGGCATCTGTGAGCACCGTTCAGCTGTGGATATCTGGAATCCTAGCCATTCTGAGGGTTTTGATTTCGCAGTCAACTGAAGACATTGTTCTCTCTCGCATTCAGGAGCTCTCCTTTTCTCCATCCTTAATCTCCTGTTCAGTAATTAACAGGTTGAGAGAGGGTGACAGTAATTCAATGCCAGAAGAACACAGTGAAGGGAGACAATTGAAGAATTCACCAGAAGAAACATTTTCAAGGTACGTGCTCCATATCTGAACCTGCAGTGTCTTTGGGAAGTTGCATGGTGTCTGGTGATCAGTATATCTGGAGTAACTGCTGGTCTAGCCACAGCTCTGGGCAAGCTGAAGAAGTGTGTGTTGTGTGTTTTAGTCCAGCTGCCTTACCTGAGACCCTTGCTCTGTGCCTCTGTTACAGCTGTGTCACGTTCCATCTTGTCCCCATTAAAAATGACTTAGAGTGGCTCACTGTGTGCTGGGCAGGGCTTGGTCCACTTTCCGTGTGGGCAGAAAGGCCGTATGTTGCCTGAGAAAAGTTGAGGCCCTTAGCTCTTAAAGTTGGGCTTGTGTCTGTGCTCATCGTGTGCTGAAGGATTGCGCTCTGTCAGCGATAGCCGGCTGCCCAGGAGGATGTGCCTGCTGCGTGTGTGCAGTATCAGTCACGTTTTCCTTGAACTGTTCCAGGAGGCTGTGAGCAAGATTGAGCTCTTGGATGAAAGTATCTGTCCCCACCAGATCGTCTCTTAAGTTCGTGCTGCTTCTTCAGGTTGCTCCTTCTGCCCTTGCATCTTTGGTTGGCTGCCCCGGTTGCTTTCAGGGGAGCTGCCTAGGGTTGCTGGGAGAGGTGGGCTGGAGCCTGCCCAGCATCTGCCCAGCGCCCGTGGCCTGCTGCGCTTCTGCTGCAGTGTGCTCAGTGTGCCCACTGTGTATCCTACTTTTCGTGGTTTGCTCTGTGTGCCCGTGCATACTTGGCGCACGTGCTGTGTAATGGTCACCTGACTTACTGCTGTCCCTCTTGTTTTCTCGAAGGTTTCTGTTACAGCTGGTTGGGATCCTTTTAGAGGAGATTGTCACAAAGCGGCTCAAGGTGGAAATGAGTGAGCAGCAGCACACCTTCTACTGCCAGGAGCTGGGCACCCTGCTCATGTGCCTCATCCACATCTTCAAGTCTGGTAGGTGGATCGGCCACACCCAAGGTGCCGCTGCCCTGTGCCGCGCGCGTGCCTGCGGCGGGCAGGACGGCATCCTGCAAGGAGAAGCGTAAGCAGCCAGCACGTTGCTCTCGGGCAGTTTCCCCAGAGGACTGGAAAGCAGCGTGGCTGGACGTTGTCTGTGCTCGTGTTCATAGCAGCGCTCTTCATTCACAGTAGCCAGCCTGTGGAAGCAGCGCAGGAGCTGATCAGTGGACTGACGCATCAGCAAAGCCTGTGCGTCGTGAGAAAGGGTGTGGGTTTGCGAGCATGATTCATTTCGGAAACATACTTGTAATCCGAAGTACTTGCGTATCAAAGTAGATTTCCTCATAATAAATAATGGACGCTGAGGTGATTTGCTCTACAGCTCAAGAATATTCACATAAAAGTGATCACAGTACTGTGATATAACACAGAATAATGAAATACAAAATATAAAGCAAAGAAAATTAATCTACCTTTACCTTTGAAAGCCTTCAAGGCTGGTGTGAGGGAGATGAGAAGGGGAGAGTTGTTGTGTAGAACACCTTACTCTGTTGCTGACAGAACCAGTCACTGCCATCAACTGGTTTGATGGACTCTTTCTTTTCATGCAGCTTTGGTAAGGAACCTAACCAATGACATTTGCTTTTGCCTTCTTTTGAAGATTTCACTGAAATGTGATATTTCATTATCATTAAACAGATTGACCCCAACACTCTCTGTTGCTACCACCTTATTTGGGTGGTAGTTTTCTACAAAATTTTGGAGGTAGTAAAGGACTCTTCCACCTTTGTCTGCTCCTCTGCAAACATAATCTTTCTTTTGGGAGGCAGTCACACAGAGGGAGAAAAGGAGAGTGAGGGAGAGGGAGGGAGAGAGAGAGGGAGGGGGTGGGAGACATAAGGAGAAAGGGAGGGAGACATAAGCAGAGGGGGAGGGAGGGAGAGGAAGGGAGAGAGGGAGAGGGAAGGAGGCAGAGGGAAGGAGGCAGAGGGAAGGAGGCAGAGGGAGGGAGGGAGAGGGAGGGAGAGGGAGAGGGAGGGAGAGCAGAAAAGGGAGGGAGATAGGGAGAGGGAGGGACAGAGGGAGAGGGTGGGGAGAGAGGGAGGGAGGGAGAGGGAGAGGGAGGGAGAGCAGAAAAGGGAGGGAGAGGGAAAGGGAGGGAGAGAGCGGGAAAGGGAGGGAGGGAGAGCAGGAGAGGGAGGGAGGGAGAGCAGGAGAGGGAGGGAGAGAGGGAGGGAGGGAGAGGGAGAGGGAGGGAGAGCAGAAAAGGGAGGGAGAGGGAAAGGGAGGGAGAGAGCGGGAAAGGGAGGGAGGGAGAGCAGGAGAGGGAGGGAGGGAGAGTGGGAGAGGGAGAGGGCCTCTGGCTCAGCTGTGATAATGTGATGTTCAGTGTAACATACTGCTTGTTACTGCAGGACACCATTTGCATATGAAGTTAAAATGTATTAGAAATACTTGTTCGTATGCAGAACACTTGGAGAACCAAGGTACTTGCTGTTAGATTTTTCAGCAGCACAGTAAAGTGATAGAAAATATAAAAGGGCCTTTATTACCTCTGATGACACAGAGAGAATCCAAGTGAAATGGGGTGATCCTCTAACTCGAGACCAAGGAAAGCTGAGACATCTGTGGACCTTTGCTGGGGTGGGGCTTGAGGGCAGCTTCATTCACATGTAAGCAGCTGACTGGGGGCTTCCCTGAGGGGGCACAGTGTCCAGGCCTGGGATGGGTACGGAGGAGGACGTGGCCATTGGGAGTACAAGCAGTTGTTTTAAGGGCTTCAGCTCTGTTTGATGACCACCGTAATTATTTAGCAGTTCATCCTAGGGCCAGAACCTCTCAGTAGTAATTTTAAAGTCAAGAAAATGTGCCTTGTTTACTTATGCCGGTGGCTTTCAGTGTGGTGGTCATTTGAACCTTTTGGCATTGGCCTGGGTCTGAGAGCAGAGATTTCTTGGCCTCTGGGTGAGAACACTTCCTGTTGCTGGTCCAGGTGTTGGTTGCTTGCCTGGCCCCTTGTCCCGACCTCCCACCTCCACTTCGGAGATGAGCCATCAGGCCTTCTCTGGCTGGCTGCCTGTAGAGACCTGGGATTGGCCAATGTCCCTGAGGCGGCTCCCCCAGGCACAGGCCGGGCCCTGAGAGCTGCCATGCTGCAGGAGTGGAGCAGTGCGGCTCCCTGGGGCACACAAGCCTTGCTCCAGCCTTGGTGGACGCTGGCTTATGGGTCTGGTGTTTGCAGACCACAGCTGAGGGCTTGGTTTGGTTGTTTTGTTTTCGTATTTTTAGGGAAAAGTCTACAGGGTGTTCAGGGTCTCACTACTAGATTGGACTCATAGTGATCCACCTGTTTACAGCCTCCCAAAGAGCTGGGATTCCAGGCGTACCCTACCATGCCCAGTCTCAGTTGCCATCTCAGTGCACCCTGGGGGCAGGGCCAGCACAGCAGGTGCTGGGATTGAACCCTGGGCCTCTGTGCCTGCTTGCAGGGGTTTTAATCCACTGAGCTATTTGGCCAGCCCGAGGGTGTGTTATTAATGTCTGTTTCTCTCCTTGGTCAGTATGGCAGCACTTCTGTCCATAGACAGCAGGTGGCAGAACCACTTCATTTGCTTGGTCTGGAGATAGGATTGAAATAAATCATCTTGTATTTTTATAATAATAAGGTATACTAAACATGTAAAATTGGTAATTCGTGTATGAATATTGCTTGAGCAAAGGCAGTTTATCCTCCTCACCCACTGAGTAGAATAGTTGTACGTTGTAAGTGTTAAGTCTTACAAGAGGACCTAGGCTGAAGATTAACCTTGACCTCTGTTTACGTGCTGCCCCTCTTTCTGAGCAGGGGAAACTTATCTCAAAGTTGGAACCAATACTAATAGAGCAAAGAAAGATGCCTGTCCTGCAGTATGCAGAGTTGGGGTGATCACCATCCCTCTCATGCTCTAGGAGGGACTAGTTGAGAGCTAGATGGGGCAGCCAGGGGCAGGGGAAGGAGTTCAGTCAGCCCTGGATGCACAGTTCTGCATCCACAGCTTCCACCAGCTACCTTCGAAAATACTTGAAAGAGACATTTTTTATCCAAGTATAACTGCACAGGTCTGTAATCTTAGCTGCTTGAGAGGCTGAGGCAGGAGGATCACAAGTTCAAGGACAGCTAAGGCAACATAATGAGACCTTGTCCCAGAAATAAAAAGGGTTAGCAGTAGAGCTCAGTACTTCCTGGGTTCAGTCACCAGTATTGTAGAAAGCACAACCAAACTGGGCTGAACGTGTCACCGAGGCTTTCTTGCTACTGTTGCCTAAATAATGCAGTGTGACACCCGTTCCTAGTGTTCCTGTTGTCTTGAGTGTTGAAAGGAGTCCAGAGATGGGTTAAGCCATTCCAGAGGGCATTAGGCTCCACGCAGCCTCAGTGGGTTTTATCTGTGGCACTTGCGGGTGTGCAGGGGATGGCCACTGTGCTGGGAGCAGCCTAGCACTACGATGGCCATGGTGCTGTCTTAGGAAGAACGTGGGAGGGATAGACATGCAGCGAGTGCCGTGCAAGTGCCAGTGTTTTAATTTGGAAGCATCAGGAAGGGCTGCCTGTGCACCTTTTAGCATAAAAGCTACCTGGGGTTGGGCTCAGACAAGCACCAGGACATTTCCCCACCATCAGCTCTGCTTTGTGTACTTCCAGGGATGTTTCGGAGGATCACTGCGGCTGCCACCAGACTCTTCACCAGCGACGCCTCTGAGGGCAGCTTCTATACACTAGAGAGCCTGAACACACGTGTGCGCTCCATGGTGCCCACACACCCAGCCCTGGTGCTGCTGTGGTGCCAGATCCTACTGCTTGTCAACCACACTGACCACCACTGGTGGGCAGAGGTGCAGCAGACGCCCAAGTAGGTGCACTACCCTCTGTGCCAGCGCAGCTTGAGCTTCAGAGCCTGTGGAGGTGTTTTCTTTGTTCTTCGTGGGGCTTCGTAAGGTTTTAGATGCATACCAATCTTTCTTGGGCCCTATATTGTGAGGGAAGATGTGTCTAAGTACAAGCATTCGACTTTGCAGTCACTACTTTCCTGTGGTTTTCTTGGGCAAGCTCTTTGACACAGCTCCAGCGTGTGGGTCTCAAGTTGGGCTGCGACCCTCCTTCTCTCTAGCACAAAAATTGGTTCCACAACCAGATATTTTGCAATGTCTTAACTTCATTAGGAGTTAAATGTGGTTCTGATTATTCTTAGGTAATGAAGTAATTATTTAGCAAGTTTCAAAACTGTTTGGAAAGGCTATATTTTTTATCATTCAAAAGACCTATTAAGTTTCTGGTTGTGGGTGGCCCTGTCTTGGTAAAGTGTTTCCAGGTTTGAGCCTCATCATCCCAGTGCTCACTTGCCTGGACATCAAGACTGCATGCAGGAGGAAGTGAATGCTCTGATCCTGAGGATCCAGGGCCGAGGGTTGGGTAGAAAGCTGCTCCTGGGGGAAGAGCGCAGTGCGTCAGCTCCTCTGTTGGTGCGATGGCCCCTGCTCTGCTCTCTGCAGTGGGGTCTGCAGGACAAAGAAGCATAGCTTCCTGCTCAGCATGGGAGACAGCCGGAGGCAGCATTTGCCATGTTTAGAAGTATGACCTGGGCCTGTCCTCAGGACTGCGCAGGGATGTGGGGGGCCATGTCTCTGGTTCTGTGCTCTGAAAATACCAGTGTAAATCAGCCGCAGAGCTGCACTTGGGGTGAGCGGTGAGTCAGCAGCTCACCTCAGCCTAGGAATCTTCCTCTCCACCAAGTTGGCGTGCTGGCCAGGCACCCACTGAGCAGCAGAAAAGCCTTGGCATCGCAGGACCAGTGCTGTCCTGTGTCCCCACTGCTGTGCCTGACAACTGCAGGGTTTAGGAACTTGTGTTTTTAGCAGGCTTGCAGGGTTATCCAGTGGACATCCAAGGTTGAGCTGTGCTGCAGAACCTTAGCAAGGAACCTGTTGGTGGGGAGGTTTGAGGAGCAGGAGGAGGTGTCCCAGCCCACCAGCTGTGCCCCTCTTTGCTGGTTTAAGTGGTCACTGAGGCCAAAACCGCTCTGAAAGTGGGTGCAGTGGTGCAGGCCTTTAAGCCTGGCATTCTCGGAAGCAGAGGCAGGCCCACTGAGTGTTCAGGCTCAGCCTGGGTAACTTAGTAGGCTCCTGTCTCAGAGAGCTTTAGAAAGGGCTGGGGCTGTACTTGTTGGCCACTGGCCTCCTTGACACCTCGGTGTCCTCCTGAAGAATAGGATTGCACTAGACACCGCACCTGAGAGAGGGCAGGAACGGCTGGGATTAAGCTCACATACCAAACAGAGCTATGAGGCAGTTGGAAATTTGAGGGCAGTGAGTCTATGAACTGTTCGTTGTCTTGCAGCTGAAGTACTCAGGGAGAACTGTCAGTTACCTCATATCGCAGCCAAAAATCGTGTTGGTACGGAGTAGCATGTGTGTGGATGTGGAGGGTGTCTGTGTGCCTGCTTGTCTAGAGCGTGCTCTTGAACTCAAAGCTGGCAGACGGAGGTGGCTGATAATTGAATTCTTCCTGCACCATCTCCGTTGGCCTGAAGTTCACAGCATTAATGTTAAGGAGAGGAGCTGGTAGAGCTGGTAGATGAGGCTTCCGGGACAGTGCTGTGCGCAGCTCAGGGAAGCCCTGGGGAGAGGGGCACTCTGGAAGAGGGGGGAATTCAGCTTCTGGGGACGGGAGGAGGGCACTGTGGAAGAGGGAGGATTCAGCTTCTGGGGACGGGAGGAGGGCGCTGTGGAAGAGGGGGGATTCAGCTTCTGGGGACGGGAGGAGGGCGTTGTGGAAGAGGGGGGATTCAGCTTCTGGGGACGGGAGGAGGGCGCTGTGGAAGAGGGGGGATTCAGCTT